GTGACTGCTGGAAAAAGCGATTAGAATAGTTAGGGGTTTGTTTTTTATAAGCGCAGACTGGATGGATTGAAGGACCTTTTTCTGTTCTGTCGACTTCTATGTCTCTAAGATGACCAATAGATTGCGTAGACAATATAATCTGTTTTAAAATTAATTCAGCTGGATATTTATTTCCCTGGCAGAGCACAAGGAGCTGCATCTGTTGGATGGAAAACATTGCTGTGCGGGGAGAGTAGAGGTGTTCTCCAATGTGTTTGGAAGACAGTGTGTTCGGAGGAAGTCAGTTGAAACTCTGCAGAATTGATCAGTAATCTATTACAATGTGGGAGCGCTAATATATCTGCCCTTATGCCAAGCAGTTTACAAGGGGTTATGGACCCATGTAGCTCAGTAAGATTGAGCGCATTCTTATGAGTCGGTCCTATGACAGTGTTCGTTAATTTCCTGGGGTGAAAACACAATGCAGTCATTGAAAATATATTGGTGTCATTTACACAGGTAATACAGCGAAGGTGTCCAATCCCAGATTTTCATTCATTACAGATGTCATATTGATTGAATCGTACAACATGAAGAGGTCAATTGGCGCATTGTATCTGTTCTGATATATTCACACTAATCCTATTTTCTAACGCTTGGCCCCTTACTGTGAATGGCCTGACGTTCCAAGTGCTCATTCCGAATACTCTTTAAATGTTGTGAGGATTTCTGACACAACTACCCTTCTAGGCAAGGCATTCCAGACCCTTATCACATGCTGGGTGATTTTCTTTTCCTAAATCCCCTTTAAACCACCTGCTTTTCAAGATAAAATAATGCCCCCTTGTTACTGACCCTCCAGCCAAGGAGAAGAGCTGCTTTCTATCCATCTGGCCATGTCCCTCATGATTTTTTACACCTTTATTGACCACACACACCACACCCCCCCAAGCCTTTTCTACTCCAAAGGATACAATTCAAGTTTATCCAGCCTCTTTTCATCTGTTGAACTGCTCCATCCCAAGCAATATCCTGGTGAATCCCTTCTGCACCCCCTCCAGTGCAATCACACCCTCCCTAGAGTGAGGTGACCGGAACTGCACACAATACTCCATTACTGTGGCCTAACCAATATCATGTACAGCTCCAACATAACTTTCCCTCCCTTATAATCAATGCCTCGACTAATAAAGACAATTGCTCAATATGCCTTCTCAGCTATCTATTAACCAGCCATGCCACCTTCAGGAATATATAGACAAACAGCACAAGATCCCTTTATTCCTCTGAGCTTCATAGCATCCCGATATCCAATTGAGTCAGCTTGTCTTGTGTAAAGGATCTTCATTAAGATCAGCACTTTGACAGACACAGCCCACAGTCCCGAGAATGATTTTTTTTTCCCAGGTCATGACTCCTCTTTGTTAATCCAGACGTTGAATTTACATCCCTGACTTGCAAATGTACAAATAATCATTGTGATTCTTCGATTGCGACTGGTTTAAGATAACATTCGGTGTTTTGATACTCCTCCATGTTGAACAACACTTAGCGGGGACACTGAGGATGGCAAGGGCACAAAATGTACTCTGGGTGGGGATTTCAATGTCCACCACCAAGAGTGGCTTGGCAGCAGTACTACTGATCAAGCTGGTCAGGTCCTACAGGATATAGCTACTAGACTGGGTCTACGGCAGGTGGTGAGGGAACCAACGAGAGGGCAAACCATTCTGGACCTTATCCTTACCAATCTGCCAGCTGCAGATGCATTGGTCCATGAAAGTATCAGTAAGAGCAAACACCACAGAGTCCTTGTGGAGACGAAGTCCCACCTTCACGTTGAAAATAACCTCCATCGTGTTGTGTGGCACTATCACTGTACTAAATGGGACAGACTTTGAACAGACGTAGCAACTCAAGACTGGGCATCCATGAGGCACTGTAGGCCATCAGCAGCAGCAGAATTGTACTCCAGCATAATCTGTAACCTCATGGCCCGGCATATCCCCCTCTCAACCTTATTATGGACAAAGTCAGACCCCCTCAAAATATTTCAAGTAAGTGGCCTAGACCCTAACATTTTTTCTCATTTTAAAGGTAAGCGTTTAGTGTCTGTTTCCAGTGCAATGCGACTGGTCAAACTATTCAACGTTAAGCAAAACACAATTTATTTAAACACTGTAGTTACAATACAACCAAAGAAAGAGGAATTTAGAATAACAACTCTATTGGAAAACTTGACAGAATAATAGATACAGTAACTATTAATAATTAACTGTTCCAATATAGTAACATTTCATAAACAGACCCCAAATTGAGACACAGATTCTCTCATGAAGTTCTCCAATCCAGTAGGAAAAAAATCATCAAGAGAAATTTCAGAGAGAGTAGCAGCCAGGAGACATTCACCGAAACTCTCACCTCTTTTGGGAGCCCAATTTCTTCTGCTTAAAGCCAAATCTAAAACCTAAGGAAACAAATAGAGAGCCTGGTCGGTGACAGTTGGCCACACTCAGGCTGCTTCTATTGTTTCAACTTTAAAGAAAATCCCAAGGCCTCACAAGCTCTTTACCCAAGTGGTTGTCAGTAGCCAGCTTCCCCGCAAAAAAGGACTAAATAACCTCTTGAAAGCCACAACATTAACTCAACCCTAACCATCCAGCCAGGGGATCAACCCTGATTCAATGAAAAGTGCAGGAGGGCATGCCTAGAGCAGCACCAGGCATATCTAAGAATGAGGTGTCAACGTGGTGAAACAGGACCACTTGTATATAAAACTGCAAGTGATAGACAGATCAAAGCAATCCCACAACCAACAAATCAGATCGAAGCTCTGCAGTCCTGCCACATCCAGTCATGAATGGCGGTGGATAAGGAGGAGGAGGCTCCACAAATATCCCCATCCTCGATGATGGAAGAGCCCGTCAGTGGAAAACATATGGCTGGAGTATTCATAACAATCTTCAGCCAGAAGTGTCAAGTAGATGATCCAACACGGCCTCCTCCAGTGGTCCCCAGCATTACAGATGGCAGTCTTCAGCCATATGATTTGAGGTTCTACAAAGTACAAAGGCTATGGCCCCTGGCAATGTCCCACAAGAGTACTGAAGACGTGTGCTCCAGAAAGTGCTGTGCCTGTGTCTGAAAGAAGAGAAGTACAGAGACACAGGAAAACAAGAGACAGGGGAGAGAGAGGGAAAGCCAAAAGACAAAAAGAAAGAGAGGGAGAAGGACAGAGAGGGAGAGAAAATAAAAGACAGTGGAGGTGGGGGGGGCGGGGACGGGGAGAGAGAAAGATGGAGTAACCCAAGATACAGAGACAGATATAGCAAAAGACAGAAAGACAGAGAAAGAGGGTCTTGTGGAGTAAACAAAGAGACAGAGACAAAGACAGGTGAGACAGAGAGAGACAACAGGATAGAGAGACACACAGAGAGGAAGAAAGGGACAGGCAGGGATGGAGAGAGAGAAAGAGAGGGATAACAGAGAGACAGGGAGGAGTGAGACAGAGGGAGAGAAAGTGAGACAGGCAGAGAGGGAGAGTGAGAGAGAGAGAAAGAGGAGAGAGGCAGACAAAGTGAGACAGAGACAGAGAGACACACAGAGAGAAAGAAATACTGTTAGTCAGAGATGGACAGAGAAATGAAGAGGGAGTGAGAAGAGAGACAGACAGACAGCTGAAGAACCAGAGAGGAAAAAAAAGAGAAACCGAGAGCGTGAGAGACAGGGAGAAACAGTGAGTATGAGACTAAACTAGCAGCTGCCAGAAAAGGGAACTGAAAGTCAAAGATACATTAGAATAGTGAAAGGCTGAGAGCAAATTGGGGCAAATAATTCAACCCCCTGGGAGGAAGAAGGTTTGACTGAGGTGCTGAATGAATACTTTTTATCTATCGTCACGAAGAAAAGAATTGGAAAAGTTGTGATGTCCAGAATCTGATAACCTGCTCCCATCAAGACCTTAGCAGTGACTTATAAAGGTTTAGTATCACTTCCTTATCTTTTGACTGCATTATTCTATTAATAAAAAATTAAGAATCCGGCACATTATTTTTAACAGCCTTCTCGCAGCTAAAATGTTTTTTTAAAAGTGACTGTTGCTGTGAATTGAGGCTTTGAGATTTTCTGACATAAGATGTTTTCTTTTCAAACGGGAACCTCAGAAATTGCAGCAGCTGATAAACTAAGGGCCTTTTGGCCCCCTTGCGGGGATAGTAAGGCTCCCATAGCTGCTACTGGGGGAAGAGGGGTACAGGAGGACTCGCCGGTGGTTGGGTGCAAATGCTGCTGCAACTTCAAAATTCAAAACTATGTGTGGGAGCTTACTGTGCATGAATTAGCCGTCAGCCACCTCTGACAAGCAACCCTCAGTGGGGTTCATCATTGGCTATGTGATGGTTTCTGGGAAGCCACAAGATGGGAAAAAGCTGAGGAGTTGTGGGATCTTGCTATGCAGAAAATAGATGCTTGTTTTTCTTACCAGTTAATAACAGTTTGGAAGCAGGCTATCGGCCCATCAAATCTACATCAATCCTCTGAAGAGCACCCCCATCCCACCCTGTCCCTGTAACCCTCCATTTCCTACATCTAATCCACATGACCTGCCCTTTATGGCCAATTTAGCATGGCCATTCCACCTAACCTGCACACCTTTGGACTGTGGGAGTACCCGGAGGAAACCCACACGGACACGGGCAGAATGTACAAGCTCCACACAGAGGGTGGAATTGAATCTGGGTCCTTGTCACTGTGAGGCAGCTTAGCTAACCAGTGAGCCACTGTGCTACCCTGTAAATAGACATTGCTACTTTAAGAAGAGCAGATGCCCTGGAATTAGACATTCCCGCTTTAAAAGGAGCAGACACCTATAAATTGGAAATACCACTTTAGTGGGGGGTGGGGAGCAGAAGCCATTTAACAAGGTCTAACTAGACATTGCCACTTTAAGGCGGCAGACGGACCTGTTAAACCGATATTGCCATTTTAAGTGGGTTGGCCCTCGCTGCAATAGAGGGCGTGGATGCTTTAAACAGGAAGTGACTCCCAGAGCTCCAGGAGCAGTCGTTGCACACAAAAAGAGGAAAATTTTAATTTTTTTTGAGGGCGAGACAGAAATGGGGAGGGTAGAGCGTGAAATGAGGAAGTGGGAGTAGAAGCTGCTTCTGGATCTCAGTGCAGGAAGACCTTCTGGAGGTAACAATCAAACACGTTTTGAATGTTTAATGTTTGCCCTCTCCCTACCTCTGGGGCAGATGCTTGTTCTAACGCTGAGCCGAGGGCGCAGGAATGACTTCCTCCTTGGAAAACTTGCAGCAAGTATTCAGATTCCTGAGCTGGCTTAGGCTTCCCTGAGACAACGGGGGCTGGGCCATTGTAGCAACCCTGCTACAACTTTGTTCCCAACAAGGACAGGGCCCGTACAGTGGGTCACTGCTGAACTCTTCCTGACCGCTGGCACTCGGGGTGGGGTGGGGCTGTTGCCCTCAGGACCCGGAGCAAGATTTCCTCTCACTTCCCCACCCACCCAAACACTATCAGTACATCAGCTGCCTTCCTGCTTGTAGCAGTGGGTTACCCACACGAGAGAGCGGTCAGCAGCTCAGTATAACGCTCATCTGCAAATCTACGCCTCCAAGTTAGGTGGAATGGCCATGCTAAATTGGCCATAAAGGGCAGGCCATGTGGATTAGATGTAGGAAATGGAGGGTTACAGGGACGACCTGCCCGACCACCCCGGTTCTGACCTTTTCTGTCTCTCTCTCTCTCTCTCTCTCTCTCTCTACACAGCCGTGCATTACCCAAGTGATGGAACCGGACACGATCGATCGACATGATGCCCAGCACAACGGGACGGCGGCTGGCGAACAGCTCCTGCAGGGTTATCAGGATGACCACTTTGATGCCCAGGTAGCCCCGTGAGTACCTCGGGTCACCCGGAG